TGTTTCAAGGTATGCCTTGAAATACATCCACAGGTACACCTCCAATTGACTCAAATTATGTCATTTAGCCTATCAGAAGCTTCTAAAGCCATGACATAATTTTCTGGAATTTTCCAAGCTGTTAAAAGGCACAGTCAACTTAGTGTATGTAATCTTCTGACCCACTGGAATTGTGATATAGTGAATTATAAATGAAATAATCTGTCTGTAAACAATTGTTGGAAAAATAACTTGTGTCATGCACAAAGTAGATGTCCTAACCGACTTGCCAAAACTATAGTTTGTTAACAAGACATTTGTGGAGTGGTTGAAAAACGAGTTTTAATGACTCCAACCTAAGTCTATGTAAACTTCCGACTTCAACTGTAGGTGATAGGGTGCCATTTCAGACAGATTTAACTGACCCTTGGTGGTGAATTATGTTATTAGATATAGACTATGTACACTGCTCAAATAAATAAAGGGAACACTTAAACAACACATCCTAGATCTGAATGAATTAAATAATATTATTAAATACTTTTTTCTTTACATAGTTGAATGTGCTGACAACAAAATCACAAAAAAATTATCAATGGAAATCAAATTTATCAACCCATGGAGGTCTGGATTTGGAGTCACCCTCAAAATTAAAGTGGAAAACCACACTACAGGCTGATCCAACTTTGATGTAATGTCCTTAAAACAAGTCAAAATGAGGCTCAGTAGTGTGTGTGGCCTCCACGTGCCTGTATGACCTCCCTACAACGCATGGGCATGCTCCTGATGAGGTGGCGGGTGGTCTTCTGAGGGATCTCCTCCCAGACCTGGACTAAAGCATCCGCCAACTCCTGGACAGTCTGTGGTGCAACGTGGCGTTAGTGGATGGAGCGAGACATGATGTCCCAGATGTGCTCAATTGGATTCAGGTCTGGGGAACGGGCGGTCCATAGCATCAATGCCTTCCTCTTGCAGGAACTGCTGACACACTCCAACCACATGAGGTCTAGCATTGTCTTGCATTAGGAGGAACCCAGGGCCAACCGCACCAGCATATGGTCTCACAAGGGGTCTGAGGATCTCATCTCGGTACCTAATGGCAGTCAGGCTACCTCTGGCAAGCACATGGAGGGCTGTGCGGCCCCACAAAGAAATGCCACCCCACACCATGACTGACCCACCGCCAAACCGGTCATGTTGGAGGTTGTTGCAGGCAGCAGAACGTTCTCCACGGCGTCTCCAGACTCTGTCACGTCTGTCACATGTGCTCAGTGTGAACCTGCTTTCATCTGTGAAGAGCACAGGGCGCCAGTGGCGAATTTGCCAATCTTGGTGTTCTCTGGCAATTGCCAAAAGTCCTGCACGGTGTTGGGCTGTAAGCACAACCCCCACCTGTGGACGCTCGTCCTTGCACAAAGGCGGAGGTAGCGGTCCTGCTGCTGGGTTGTTGCCCTCCTACGGCCTCCTCCACATCTCCTGATGTACTGGCCTGTCTCCTGGTAGCGCCTCCATGCTCTGGACACTACGCTGACAGACACAGCAAACCTTCTTGCCACAGCTCGCAGTGATGTGCCATCCTGGTTGAGCTGCACTACCTGAGCCACTTGTGTGGGTTGTAGACTCCGTCTCATGCTACCACTAGAGTGAAAGCACCGCCAGCATTCAAAAGTGACCAAAACATCAGCCAGGAAGCATAGGAACTGAGAAGTGGTCTGTGGACACCACCTGCAAAACCAGTCCTTTATTGGGGGTGTCTTGCTAATTGCCTATAATTTCCACCTGTTGTCTATTCCATTTGCACAACAGCATGTGAAATGTATTGGCAATCAGTGTTGCTTCCTAAGTGGACAGTTTGATTTCACAGAAGTGTGATTGACTTGGAGTTACATTGTGTTGTTTAAGTGTTCCCTTTATTTTTTTGAGCAGTGTATATAACTTAAGCATTGATAATTAACTATAATATGAATAGGCCTATGTTATCTGCTCCTCTGCAAATCGCCCATAAATAATTGTTAACTTATTTAAGCGAGTAAGACTGACTGTATTTAAATAAAATGGCCCCAGACCAAATAAACTGACAGACTACAGAGCAAATGAAGCCTTTTTGCTAAATAGCCAAAGCCCACAGAATAAATGGGTGGATGTAAAGGGCATTGTAGCCTACTGATGGCTACTGATCAATTCATTGAACAGTCTTTACTGTGTACAAAAACTGTTGTCGATTTAGATCTTTACAAGAGGGGAAGGTAGAACTGCTTTAAATGCCCTGCACTTCAGAGGAAATCAATGCATAATAAAACTGGATGAAAAAAATAATAATTGGTAAGTAGCTTACAATACAGCTGGCTGAAAACAGTGATTTGGCACAACTCATAATCATTTGGTCCTTGCTGAGTCCATGCCCTTTAAAGCAGCACACCTGTGAGCACACCACGGTTGCTGTGGACAGTGTAAAAATAACCTTGATTAGGTCTGTAGAATAGTCACAAATAGGCCAAGACAGCGACCGACTTCCCCTCGTGTGTTCAAATCTAAAGAGCACTCCAAATGAGCTACAATGTCCCCCTTATAATACCTAACAGTTCTTCATCTGCATTCAACCTTACACTTCATGATTTGTATTTATTTTTGTATTTATTAGGGATCCCCTATTAGCTGCTGCCAAGGCAGCAGCTACTCTTCCTGAGCGTGATCAAAAACATTAAACCTGGAGGAACATGAAGTTCTTGGCTCATTAATCCTCTATGTCCCCCTCTGGAAGAAATGTCTGCTGCTTCTAATAATGTACACACTAATAATAATAATAATATCATCATCATTATCAAGGTAATCACCATAATGTCTCCCAGAGCGCCTACCTCACTGTTTTTTGCCTGAAACTCTGCTTCTGAAACTAAAGTGTTGCTGCCAGAAAACTGGGTCTGCTGTTTCTAAATCAGAAGTACTTGTTTTCAAAAATGAATAAGGGGGAAAAGGTATATGAAACTCAGCAGTTTGAAATAACAATAAGAAATGCACTACTTATTTGAGTCCTACTCCAGTTTGACTATCAGGTGTAGTAAATTATGTATTGGTATGGTATCCATTTATCTGTTTGGTATTATTTCTACTGCACTGATACAGGCACTACATTTAATGGTGCTTTACACATACAGTAAAGGAGTTTGTAATAGAAAAACAGCAGAAGAAACCACTCAGAGAAGATAAACAACTTTACAGTGCCTTCAGAAAGTATTCACATCCCTTGACTTTGCTTGTAAATCTATGGCAAGACTTGAAAATGGCTGTCTAGCAATTATCAACAACCAATTTAAGAGCTTGAAGAATTTTTTTAAGAATATGCAAATACTGTACAATCCAGGTGTGCAAAGCTCTTAGAGAATAACCCAGAAAGACTCACAGCTGTATTCGCTGCCAAAGGTGATTCTAACATGTATTGACTCAGGGGTGTGAATACTTCTGTAAATGAGATTTTTACATTTCATTTTCAATACATTTGCAGACATTTCTAAAACATGTTTTCACTTCATCATCAATGGGTATTGTGTGTAGATGGGTGAGAAAATCGATTTAATCCATTTTGAATTTAGGCTATAACACAAAAGGTGGAATAAGTCAAGGGGTATGAATACTTTCTGAAGGCACTTAGGTAAACGTCTTGGTTATGCACACAACATTAGCAAAATTAGGATCTGTTTAATGTTGTATATTTAGTTACATTACATGGATTGCAGAAGTACATCATTACAAACAGCCAGGGGCGCAACTTTGGTTTTAGAAGTGGGGGGGGTCACATAATATATTTTTTTATCCAGTCGGATAAACACTCCAAACAGTCCTCCCGACTGCTCGGAGGCATCCGCATGGTGCTAAAGCACACCATTGCCTTGTTTTGTGTCACATTCCAATGATAAAACTGGGGGGGGGGACAAAGAAACATGTCCCCCCCGTCCGCAGTGAAAGTTGCATCCTTGGAAACAGCCAACATCAAATAAAACATTTAGGACCTAGATGTCATACTGGAGGCAAACTTAGGTCACAAAGGTCGAGTACCACTGTCTGCTAAGATGAACAGGCTAATAGTAACACGTTGGCCATTGTTGATGAGAAATCTTAAGGGTTGGATCAGTGCAATAATCCCCAGATATACATGTAGTTAGTTGACAGATGTTTATAATACTTGGTTCCATGTTTATACTCTCCACTCATGCAATGACTATCTCTAGTCTGACTGACACTGACCATGGATATGCCCCTCCCCCCCAAAAAAAATATAACACTGTTGGCACAAACCCCTACCTCATCATTAAATTAACATAATGTTTCTAGGAAGTTTACTGACATTGTCAGAAGCAGAAATTACTGAGGACACGTCAAACATTTCTGCAATATAATCCAAAATAAAATAAATGCATTGAGTATTTTTGGAAGTAACCATTTCTGCTACAATATAAGTAACTAGTCTAGCTCCTCCCATGCTCTGGCCTATAGAGTAATACCCTGAAACATTGGGATGGCAGACGGCTCACAGGTAAATGAAACCCTCTCCAGCAATGGCTGCTGTTACCACCACGGCACCAGGGGGTCTGGCAGATGATACTGAGTTGACAAGGTTGGCCTCCCAGTGCTGAAAACAGTGGGATACCACCACCACATTACATATGCCATGCCCAACTCAGCTTTCGAGCAATAGCATATTCATGTAGCCTGCAACAAAGTACAGCAGTACATGGAAGTAACAGGTTTGCCATAATCATACACATTATTTTGAATAAATTATCATTATAATCAATAAAACAAATCTTTACTAACAAAGAGATTTGTAAAAAAAAATTGCTAACTACAAAAATGGTCTTAACATATGATACTGGGGTGGCAGGTAGCCTAGCGGTTAAGAGCGTTGGGCCAGTAACAGAAATGTCGCTGGTTTGAATCCCCGAGCCGACTAGGTGAAAAATCTGTCGATATGCCCTTTAGCAAGGCACTTAACACTAACTGCTCCTGTAAGTCGCTCTGGATAAGAGCGTCTGCTAAATTACTAAAATAAAAAATTATACATGTCTGTGATGCCAGATTTTCAATTTAAGTCAGAAAACCCTGTTCAGACTCCTGATATTACCCCAAACATATTCATATGAGATTATTAGCCAGTTAACTAATAATTTGGCTGTAGTGGCACCGCCCATTAATCCTATTGGGCCGCATCATTTTGAGGCCATGCTAGAGTGAGCTCAGCATCCAATGGGATTGAGGCAGGGCCAGGGAGAGTCTGGGCTGTGGCGGGGAAGCAACATGATAAAGAACGCAGGAGCAGAGTCGCCTCTTTTCTCCGCAGCCTTAGACATGGTTGTTGTTGTTGGTGGTTGGTTGTAAATTAGTATCTTTGTGGGGTTTTGTCAGACATTGAAGTTGTTTATGTTTATTTCTTGTTGTTATTTGATTGCAAGTCTCGTGGTTGTAGTTTTTGTCAGACGTTGTAGTCCGGAGCTTTGCCCTGCGGCTGCCTCAGTCTGATCTGTAGTGTCATGAAGGCCCCTACAGTCACGTGGAAGAGGATCTGCCACACGTTCCTCAGTTCATACAGGTACATGTTGGACAGACAGATCAGGGCGAAGGCCAGGAACGACTTACTGTTCCTCCACACAGAGAAGTACGCAAACAGGGAACACTTAAAAGAGGGAGAGAGAGAGAGAAAGGGAGAGACGGAGTGAAAGACAGAAAGAGAGACCAGGAAACAGAGATGAGTCAACTTCTGTGAGAACAATAGAGCTACTTCATTGTATTGAAAATCCCTTGCAGGACACCAATCTTTCTTTGCTTTCAAACCATGTCCAATATTTGATCTTTATTCAAGGATGCCCCAATTATTTAGTGCAAGCTTAAATCAACTACCAGCAATAAAATAAAAGCCCTATACGGCAACATAAATTATAATACATATTATTTGCACTTTTCAATGTACCCAAAGATACTTGAAGTACAATTATGTGTAAACTGTAGCTGGACTATATTGGTACATTAACACCCCCTGTGATGCAAAGTGCAGGGTTGTTAGTCACTCACTCACCACAGTGTCAGCCAGACAGAGACAAGCAGGCAGATCTTGCTCTAACTAGCTATCACTTACCTGATACAGACAGGCTGCTGTGCCCAGGAAAAAGGCAATCACGTAATTCAAGTCTTCGTCGTCATTCTGCCGGTGGACCAACGGGGGAGGAAGATGAGGGAGAGAAGAAAAAATTGCGAGGTTAATAAATGATGAATGTACAGCAAGTAGGTAGACTTAAAACAAGGCTTGGTGAAACTGGCACGACAAGAAAGCCAACAAAAGCATTGGACAAAAATAGCCTCTGAAAAGCAATAATAAGCATACCCACTAAGATAAATACAGGTGTTACAAATGGTTCATATGAAAAGGCTTGGATTAGGTATAGCTACAGGTGTTCAGCTAGTCTTTCCCACTGAATTAAATAGAACAATGTAATGTATCTCTCTGGCTATACCTGTATGGTGCTCTCTATAGCATGAACCCCTCGGAGTAGATTGAGGCCTCCACAGAGGATGCTCAGCACACAGGATACGATGCCAGGTAGAGTCACAGGATCAAGCTGCTGGCTGGGAGCTGGGAGGAGAGAAACGGAGCTGTTAAGAACCAGCAGAAATGACCTGGTCAATGAGCCATAGACACATTCTGAGACTCTACTGGGTGAGATAAACAGCTACGTTGTGATTCTGAAGGACATCACAATCACAATACAGACTCCACACCAGAGGCTGCCTTGACCTAAGGTAGGGTGTAAAGTAGTCTCTTGCGACTAAATTCATATAAATATGAAAAATAGCTACATAGAGCAGGATTAGGTTCAGAGAATAGAAATGGTAAACCACTATACCATCATGTGCAATCTTAGAATTATCCTAACATCTGAAGAAAAACCACTGACTAAATCCCAAAATGACAATGTTTTGATGATCATCCCTCCTACCCTTCCCAAATCCACAGCGAGTGACAGGAAAATATGAATGCAGTGGTTCTTGAGGGAGACAGAGGAGCTGTGGTGACCCAGGGCAGAATCACAGCTGGGGTTACTGAGGTGTGAAGGTACCAACAGAGAGGTAGCTGATCCACAGCGTCAGGAGTGGCAGGGGGCTTTATGATGGGCCTGTCTCAGTCAGGGATCACTGATGGAAGGGCCACACCCACGACAGCTGCAGGCCAAGCTGTCCTTCAGAGAGCTGCCCCTATAGGGCTTTCAAGTGAATAACAAGTCTCTGTTCCAAATACGTTCCCAACCAAGCTGTCCATGCGGTATGGAATGGATGGAAGCCATTTTAAAACATGCTAACGTGACAAAAGGAGATGCCTACAGTAAAGGTTAACGGGAAAAGAGGATTAGAATGAGGTGGATGGAATGCAAATAAAATCAATGTAATTCAGTACACGGTTAAGTGATCATATTAAAGCTTACGTAAAGAGCCTTATACGTTTACTGTGCGTAAAAACACAAAAGGCTGAATGTGAAAGATAAGACAAAGCTGTGTAACAGACAACTCAACTGGAACTACAGTTGCAGGCACTAAAAAGATGGTTAGTTAAAAACCCTATAGAGCGGTACAGGTTTTTTGTGAGAAACTATCGCAACCCAATCTTTTAATGCCCTGTCCTGTGTGTGTTTGTGTGTATGTGTGGTACCTACCTATGCCCTTGTACTTGGAGGGGGTGTGGTAAGAGAAGCCGTTGATGGATCCTAGTTCCTCAGGGGACAGCTGGTAGGGCGGTCGAAGCTTGATCTCTGTTTGCATGTCAGCCAGGTTGATCTTAGTGGACAGGGAGCGGGGACTGTTGAAGCGCTGCTTCGTCTTCTGGATGAAGTTGTCTGGAAGGGGCAGCAACACAAGTATGAAGGGTGCGAGAATAGAGAAACGTATCATGAAAATACAACCTACAAATAATATGTAGAAGAACAGTACCGCTGGTACAGTATAAACATGCTCTATCAAAGTGTTTCAGCAGGATAATGGGTTCGATTCCCGGGACCACCCATACGTAAAAATAATAGTGTCTGCTAAATGGAATATAATATAATATATATTTGAAAGCTTCAAACCAGGGAAACTTAGCCTGGTCCGCTCCCTGTCCACAACACATCTGCCACACTGATCCTCAACACGGGGGCCCCTCAGGGGTGCGTGCTCAGTCCCCTCCTGTACTCTCTGTTCACCCATGACTGCATGGCCAGGCACGACTCCAACACCATCATTAAGTTTGCCGACGACACAACAGTGGTAGGCCTGATCACCGACAACGATGAGACAGCCTATAGGGAGGAGGTCAGAGACCTGGCCGTGTGGTGCCAGGACAACAACCTCTCCCTCAACGTGACCAAGACAAAGGAGATGATTGTGGACTACAGGAAAAAAAAAGAGGACTGAGCACGTCCCCATTCTCATCGACGGGGCTGTAGTGGAACAGGTTGAGAGCTTCAAGTTCCTTGGTGTCCACATCACCAACGAACTATCATGGTCCAAACACACCAAGACAGTCGTGAAGAAGCACCACAAAGCCCATTCCCCCTCAGGAGACTGAAAAGATTTGGCATGGGTCCTCAGATCCTCAAAAAATTCTACAGCTGCACCATCGAGAGCATCCTGACTGGTTGCATCACCGCCTGGTATGGCAACTGCTTGGCCTCCGACCGCAAGGCACTACAGAGGGTAGTGCGTACGGCCCAGTACATCACTGGGGCCAAGCTTCCTGCCATCCAGGACCTCTATACCAGGCGGTGTCAGAGGAAGGCCCTCAAAATTGTCAAAGACTCCAGCCACCCTAGTCATAGACTGTTCTCTCTGCTACCGCACGGCAAGCGGTACCGGAGTGCCAAGTCTAGGTCCAAAAGACTTCTCAACAGCTTCTACCCCCAAGCCATAAGACTCCTGAACAGCTAATCATGGCTACCCGGACTATTTGCACTGCCCCCCCACCCCATCCTTTTTACGCTGCTGCTACTCTGTTAATTATTTATGCATAGTCACTTTAACTCTACCCACATGTACATATTACCTCAACTACCTCAACTAGCCGGTGCCCCCGCACATTGACTCTGCAACGGTACCCCCCTGTATATATAGCCTCCCTACTGTTATTTTATTTTATTTCTGCTCTTTTTTTTCTCAACACTTTTTTTGTTGTTGTTTTATTTTTACTTTTTTTGTTAAAAATAAATGCACTGTTGGTTAAGGGCTGTATGTCTGCACCTGTTGTATTCGGCGCATGTGACCAATAAAATTTGGTCCCAGATCGGTTTGTGCAGTCTTGCCAACACTACTGTCATTGCCATGACAGGAGTAGGCAGGAATGCACAAACAGATCTGGGACCAGGCTAAGGGAAACCCTTTGTTCCGAAAGTAAGGCAATGCATGGGTTTGTTGGGAAAACAAAGGAGAGACTCACCCAACTCGATGAAGGAGTAAGGCCTCACAGCGCTGTTGACGCGCTTGGCGTCGTACGTGACGATAAACTCCCTCTGCAGCTCATCCAGGAAACAGAAGGCCAGGACGTTGGGGTAGTTCTCTGTACAAACCATCAGATAACCCACACCCAGGCAGCAGGTGAAACTGACACACACACACACACAGAGAGAGAGAGAGAGCAAGATTATATTGGAGGACTATTATTTCCTGCAATTACAATGCTGAACAGTGGGAAGCACAGTAAGTTCAGTAGTATTCATAAACAAAACCAAGAGATGTCCCTGCATATGTTATTCAGGATCCAAATTCAATTTGTGTGTATCCATCTACATCGTCATGGAGATATCTCTAACAAAACAACTGGCATTAGAATAGCTATGGAAGATTACCAAGAATTACCATCTCTAAGCTATTACACAAAAAAGGAACCTCGCCACAGAGGTGTTTCCAACCAATCCATCAATAAATCACAGAAATGTTAACATAACAGGTGGCTTGAAGGCTTGTTAGCAGTGTGCTAAGATGCCAGTATCTGTCTCTCTGTATTAAGATATTCAGAAAGATTAAACAAACATGGCTCACACCCAACAGGCATTAAAAGGGGAGGGGGAATTGCTAGCTCGCTCTAGCTCTCTCTCTCTCTCAGCTTATGAAGTTTGGGTGCTGAATAACGGTCGTTTGGAGAGTGCCAGGGAGGGAGGGACCAAAATCATAGCACCCACCCAACTGGAGCGCAGCGGAGCAGAGCCCCTCGAAGGTCCAATACATCTGAGTTAAGCATTGCCCAAACGGATCTTTAAATCTTTCAATTAGATTACCCAGTGATTTAAATGCTGTCTGGCACGTCCTCCGTCTCTTTCCTTCACAGTGAGGCAATGTTGGGCCTTGATTAAAGGACCTCAAGATATCAAATTAGGCTTCAGACCGTAGAGTGAATGGCCAACCAACCCTGCTGCTGGAGGGAGGAATGTGCGCGCGCACACACACACACACTTCTCATTCAAGCCAATATCTGTTGTCTAATGGTGCTTTCAAGACAACTGGGAACTCTGGGTAAAGAACAAGTTCAAATTGTGAGGTCAGCGATCTTCAGGTCGGAAAGTAAGAGTTCTAGGATGATTACCGAGTCTCTGAGTTGGAATTCTGAGTTGGATGACCGTACAAAACGATTTTTCCAAGTCGGCACTCTTTCTTTTGTCCGATCGAAAAATGCTTGGAGGTCGGCGCTTTTGAACGCGGCATTAACGGGACCAAGTAGCTAATAACCCACGTCCATGTGAACAGAGGCATTTTGTAATGCCGCAGTTGTGTTTCTTCAAATAGCCCGACAATTGTAATTGACCAAACTGTCACGAAACTCATATTAGGGGAATTATTACGGGACAGAGCTTTAACAGACTTCTTCAAAAAACAAATAAAAGTATACTTTGTTTAAACTGAGTATAAAATTTAGTTGTTGTGGATGTTGTTTCAAAGTCTAACAACGAAATGGACCGCACTTTCAAAGGTGATGATTAATTCAAAACCTTCATATGCATATTAGAGCCCAAGTCCGCAAAAAAATCAATTATGATTGTGCCTTTATACAATACATAGCCTATAGCATATTACACCCAGAAAAAAATTAACTGATTTAAGATGTCTTTGGTACATAATTGGTCTAGCCTACACTAAAAGAATGTGACACATTTTAGTAATAGGCTTTGAATGTAGACTGTATTATTATGCATACTGGATGGACTGGTTACCTTATGCTACGCTCCAAAATGTATATCCACGAGTCTGGGAGAGAACGTATAGCCATAGGCGATGCTGTTGGTTCATTGATTGAGCAGGGTGGCTTACAGTTAGCCTACAATTATAGTGAATTTATATTTGATAAGCCTAGTAATAGGGCACTTTTTATATTTTAATAATTCATTGGGTGACACTACCTTTAGCTATACAGAATCTCACCACTGTTTGTTTCCATCTCCTCGTCTCTCTCCTTTATTCCTTTCTCGAGCGCGCAGAGGGGCTGTCAACAGTTTAGTGAAATATGTTTCATTGCAGATTTCACTTGGTTTCCCAAATTAAGCACTGGGTAGCAGCAGGAACAGGGTTGGAGAGCCCATGGCATAGAGTTTCGGCGGAATATCAACTGTCGCGCAGCGAGAGCATGCATGCTCCTCAAACAGTGGTTGATGCGTGGAGTGAAATAAGTGTTCTTATATTTATTTCTCAGCTGCTCATATTAAGCACATGCTCCGCTATAAAAACGAACTAGTCTACCCAGCATCATTGAAAAACGGACCGGCGGGAAAACAAGCGGCCTCCATTCGCTATTTGAGTGCATACGGACGACATGTCTTTTCCCCCCTACTCCTGCCCATTTGATAATGGGCATTTCTAAATCAAAACTAATTTTACATATTAGTAAAGACAAGATTAAATTGAGAATAGTCTGATGGGTGAAAATATGATCACTTGATGAGAGAACAGCTGTGCAGCCTGAAGCAAGGAACAGCGCGCAAGCTTTTTTTTTTGCGACTTTCAAATCATCAATAGCCTATAGTTGCATGCAGCCCATATATGTTTTGATTTCTAAAGACATTCTAAGGTATGTATAATTTACAACTAAAGTTGCCAAATAACTAAATCTAGCGTAAAAGACTGTTTCAAAAGATCACTTTTACGCTCAACACAGCCACCTCATATGTGCACTTGGGAATGGGAAAAATCTCCTTTCTATTTTATACAGCTAAGTACAATTATATTCTTCTTACTATAAAATGATGGCACAGATAATCATATCTTGTCTGCTAAATGAACAAGCCTGCAGCCTAGGCATGGCACATAGCCAGATAACATACAGGCCAACTCATTATGTTCTTCTGAAATACATTTTCTTCATATCATGTTTCTTTAGACCTGCCTACAATAAATCATGGATTTATTGTGATGGTGTACATAAAATTGATTTATGATACGGTTTTAAATGTAGCTGTTCTAAAAGCTCATGTATGCGTGCAGATGGTAAACGTGTTTATGTTAATTAATGGTCAATTACCGTGAGACCGGACAACTTTTGCATGACAATAACCAGCTAATAAAATGTTATGACCTCCACAGACCTAGACAATGATAACACCGTCATTCAAAGCAAAATGATACTATAGAGAACTGCTAGCAACTTTGGGTGGTGGTAATACCAGTCTGTTAGAAGGGTTTATATCAAATATATCTGGTAATACCCCTTGTTACATTCCCCAGCAAGAACCCCCCCAAAAAAGTCACTCAAACAAAAAGGGGAGCTAACAAAGAGTCACTGACAACAACCAAAACAGGTGGGGTTTTAGGAGGGGTTCTAAGACACTCATGGGGGTGTCCACTGAAAGTTGCATAGCAACAACAACTGGGACCTACAAGACACCCACCATGAGCACCCACAACATTTTCCTAAGAGGCAAACCAAAAGAAAAACCCACACCAAACTTAAAGGCAGGAAGCAAACCAAAAAGGTGAAGCAAAACGAAATCAGATAAAGGATAGTTTGTCTATAAATCAAAATAGGGAGCGCCAACTAAAGGTGTTAACCCTCCATCTCTCAAGACAACTGGAGCACTGGACCAGCCACTCTTAAATAGAACCTGGACCAGCACAGGTGAAACACCTTCCCACTAATGAGATGGCAACCAGCACAGGTGTAACACATACTGACTAAGGAGGTGACACCAATCGGTGCGCCCTACGTGCTAATGAGCTAAAGTCCAACCTCAAAACATACATGGAAAACCCTATAACACCCTTTATGATTCACAGTTAAAATTATACTTAGCATGCTAGCAGATACCCATAGACTTTCAGTCATTGCGCTAACGCTAATTAGCAGTTGCCCTAGCACTAGTTAGCAACTTCCCGAAGTATCCCATTAAGCCTGACTTGCAACTTACTTGATATTGTACTGTCCAGCCTTCAGAGTGCACCGGTCAGGGAACTGGCTGAGTTTCTTGGACAGTGCTTTGACTTGCTTCTTGGTTTCCTGAAGGCCTTTGTCCTGCTCATAGTCTGTGGAGGCAGACAGGGGTAGACCGTCCACCACCCGCACCACAGAGGCAAACAAGACCATTGACATCATACAGCTAGCTCTACACGCACTCTCACTGGACACCTACAAAACAGAGGGAAAAGGGAGCATGTTCACAGATCCAAGGGCATGAAGATTGTGAATTCTGATAAAATAGGCCTAGTTTCACTGAATTGCCGGCATAGCCTGGCAACATACCAATATTACCATAGCTATCTCTCATTCACACCATTTGGGAAGTCTTGGGTAACACTAGAATAGATCATAATAAATGGTACAACTGAAGTTAGTGCGTGACTCTCCTGTGTCTGCCACGGTTCGGTACCTTGGATAGCACTTTGAAGAACTGCTAATAACTAGGCCTTGATCATGAACCCCAGTTACATTTAATTACACATAAGAGTCATTGGAAGAAGGCGTCTTCTGTACAGGGGAGTTTTGTTAAGAGCCCCGACGCTCGGTCTGAACATTAACACGCATTGGTTTTGGAAGCATAAGGACCTCCTTACCTTTCATATCAGCGAGAAATAATTTTCAAAAAACAAAAGGTTAAATTAATAGACATCTTTATATGGTTAAGGAGTAAAGGTAGACTCCGTAAGAGTACATCTTGGTCTAGTTAGCTAACTTTACGCCTCGCGAAAACTGTGCCCTCTCCAAGCCCCTGGCTAGAAAGCTAACTGGCTAATGCTAAATTTGTCTTGAGTGAGCCTGCATTTTTTTCATTGTTTACCAGGATATGGTGCATGCATAAGCGATGGTCAGGGCATTGCTAGCTCAGCAACACCGGACAGGGAGATAGCTAAAACTAGCTAGGTTGTGCAGCAGAATACTGGCAAAATCCGTTGAGGATTATGCAAAATGTGATAGTTAGTGATGCTTGCTAACTAGCTAGCCACATAGCTAGCTTAACGTTACGTTACTTAATAGCAGGACTATTCAGTTATTAAAATAGAAAATGTCTAGCTAGCTTTATCCCTGTCGCATAATATCAATTAAAAAGGAGACAGCTTCCTAGCTAGCTACTCAAATACGCCCTTATGTTCTCTCCTAGTCCTAGCTAACGTTACGCGCTGTCAGTTAGCTGGATGGTAACGTTAGTAAGCTACTGCACACTAGGCTAGCTAACATTAACTAGCTATCAAGAGCAAAGCTAACGTTAGCTAGCATGGCCTTCCAAACATAGAACATGAATTGTTATTTTACAAGCTAACCTGAACAGACGCATGTGCCAATGCAACACTCACCGCGAAGTCGTTTATTTATTGTAACGTAGCATCACCGGGCACCGTTTTCATTGGTCTACATTCTGTTGTGGCGCTACGGTACACTCAGGACAGATGCCGCGTTCACTGCTAGTCGGAACTAGAAAACTTCCGACTTGCTAACAGGTTAGTTGTACACGTGTCGCGTTCAACCAGTTAGCTAGTCGGACATTTCTGAATTTTGTAGTTCCGACTAGGACATGAACGCGGTAAGAAATGTTTAAGTGTTTGGACTGTACGGTTCCCTGTGCATTATGGGTAGTGCCAACTTGATGCGTGCGCAGATTGACATTTATTGGGATCAGTCTTGTCCTGGAGGCAGCACTGAGAGATTTCTGCTAGATTGTCCAGTTGCAAAGTCAAAGTAGCCTATATTGTAAAAATTCATGACAACTAAAATTTGTATTTTTGGTCTTAATTTTAAGGTTAGGCATTAGGGTTAGCAGTGTGGTTAAGGTTAGGTTTAAAATAAGATTGAATGACTTTGTGGCTGTGCCAGCTAGTGACCACGCTACGGAGCTGCCTCCAGAACAAGACTCATGACAAAAAACGCTAACCTGCAAAGCATGTATGCATTCTCATCAGCACCACCTTGACACCAGCAAGAAATGAATGGATGGATTATCATGGATACCACAGCATATTGGAAAATAATATGGCTTTAATTCAATAACAACATTAGCCAGATACACATATATATTAGGTTGGTTGAAAGGACTGGCTTTTTAAAATGTTGTATATATATATATATATACACATACATACATACACACACACACACTGAGTGTACAAAACATTAAGAACACCTTAATATTGAGTTGCCAGGCGCACCGGTTTGTGTCAAGAACCGCACTGCTGCTGGGTTTTTCACGCTCAACAGTTTACTGTGTGTATCAAGAATGGTCCACCACCCAAAGGACATACAGCCAACTTGACACAACTGTTGGAAGAATTGGGGTCAACATGGGCCAGCATCCCTGTGGAACGCTTTCCACACCTTGTATAGCCCATGTCCCAACGAAATGAGGCCCTAATCTATGGATATCAGATGACTGGGAATACAGATATGCATCTGTGGTCACAGATACCTTGAAAAAAATGGGCCTCAGGATCTCATCACAATATTTTTGTGCATCAAATTGCCATCGATAAAATGCAATTGTGTTCATTGTCCGTAGCTTATGCCTGCCCATACCAGAACCCCACCGCCATCATGGGGCACTCTGTTCACAATGTTGACAGCGGCAAAAAGCTCGCCCACACGACGCCATACACGTGGTCTGCAGTTGTGAGGCCTGTGTGTGTGTGTGTATATATATATATATATATACACACATGTTTATTTCTGTCTAGAATAGATCTAATTTGTAGGCCCTTCTATTGGAATGAGGTGCAAGCAGTAGGCCTGCTGTATCCCAGGAAGTGATGTAAAACAGGGTTGCACTGCACACTGGTGTATGGGGACCCACCGTGTCTTCACGTCAATCATTACTCCTATTACAAATAAGTAATTTCTGGTCATAATTTGAATCATTATAAAGTAGGCCTATTCTGCCTGCAACTGCTTGAGCGAAATGGTTCTGTTTGACATAAGGCAGTATATTTTGGGCAACAGAAATAAATGAAAGTGTGCTGGTGCCTGAAGCAAGTTGGCAGGTGAACATCACTAGAGAAAGCACTCCAGGCTGCTCATAAAATGAATGAAACCACTTTAAAGAACTCCACAGTACCTTTTTACCAGTGTGTCTGAGTGTACAGTATCTGTGTGTGTATGTCAGAAACTGGAGGTGTGTGTGTGTCAAAAACTGGAGGATCTCAATCACCCTAGGTGATGTGGTGACTTGTGACACTGATCAGAGGCAGGGTTCAAGCAGAGCAGAAACCCACGTCATCATCAGTGCTATGTGCATTTAGCCCATGGCATATTTCATATGAGAATCACCATGGACTAGCTACAGTTTTTGTGCTCGAATTATTAAAAGCCCAGCTTTTGGCTAGTTAGTTGCTGGACCCGGGTTTGAGTCCCGACCGGGGCTACACCCCGAATTTGATACAACATACTTCAATGGTTGGTTTCATTGACTCTCCCCTTTCATTAAAATGGCCCCTAATAGAGTACCACAGTTTGTGTCATAAAACCTATTTTTGCCATAGGGGATTTTAGAAACATCTAATGTTAACTAAATTTAGTTATGACAAAATTGGCTAAATTTCTTTAAATTGACAATTCTGTGAACTGTCTTGTGCAAGTTTTAAATTGACACAATACCTGTTTGCAAAGGTGTCAGCTAGAGATGATGAGCAGGAGCTGGCAGGGATTTGCAGTCTTGCATGATGTCTACTTTTATACTAATTAGCATTTTCGGATCTGAGAATAAATAGAGCCGAATATATTGATAAAAGTCACCTTGTCCGAGATAAATTTACATGGTTATCAAAACGTCACGCCATGGTAAGCCTACCCGAAACACTTATTTTTTCAACCAGTTTCTCAACCCTCCCTAACTTTAAACAAACCCACTGTAATAACCCATGGAACTCTTCATTACATTTAAATTTTAGTCATTTAGCAGACGATCTTATCCAGAGCGACTTACAGTTAGTGAGTGCATACATTTTCATACTGGAAGGAGTGATGGAGTAGTTCTTTATAAACTGATTACTTTATTACTAACCCAGAGCATGGTGTAACAGGCAGGCATTCGCAGCTGTACTCAACGTGTGTATTGGAGTGCATTCCAATACTCTTAACAATGACACTAATAGGTACTCAAGTGCACCACCACCTGGTGGTGTGTATGTGTAATGACGTTATTACCACATTACCACACCCACCCAATCTCCCCAGAGTGCACTGATCCTTAGGGGGACATTTAAGCATCGAAGGACCTCCCTGAATCCCTCACTCGATCCCAGCAGGCCAGGCTGTGGGTGCTGCAGCTACATGGTGATGATGATGGATGTCTGCCGCGCTGACTACTTGATGAATGACCAGTGGTCCAGGGGAATGTTTAGCGCTGAAAGACTGTCAAGTGAGAGAGAGGCAATGATGTCATGCGCGCTGACACAGACTAAATAAATGGGGAGGGACAGGCGGAGAGATTTGGTGCTCTCTCTCTCCCTCTCTTTCTGTCTTTCTATTTCAATCTCTCTCCATCTCCTGTATTGTGTAAAGCTGAATCGCAGGTGGTAAAAGCATTGAGCTTACACTTACTTTGTTGTTGTTGAGAAAATGGTGTCATGTTGTTTCACCCAGGGTTGGTTTCCAAGAGCTAAGACTTTAACCAAATGAGGTTACAGACATAAGCCCACTTAGTCTTCTGTAGACACATTCATTTAACATAATGATGAGGGCAGTTTGACTGTAAATCAATCAGTGTACCTTATCTAGGCAGGCTTTGAGCCCCTGGGAGCGATATCCTGAGGGTTGATAAACTAGAAACACTGATTAATTTGGGATCAATTCTGACCCATTCAACATGGTGAATGGATTTGAAAGCCACTTCAATCCACTTCGAGAGCTGAGAGGAATACTCATTTATTCTAAAGAAAACAATCAATTTACTTCAGCTTCTCCCATTGATAGTAATACACTTTTTCAGTCTTGCCCATTGATATTGTAGACCAGGGGTGTCAAACATATGGCCCGCGCAGATGGTTTGAGTTGTATTATTATTATTATTATACTATTAACTTAATATACATTATCGGTCAAAAGTTTTAGAACACCTACTCATTGAAGGGTTTTTCTTTATTTTTACAATTTCTACATTGTAGAATAATAGTGAAGACATCAAAACTATGAAATAACACATATGGAATCGAGTAGTAACCAAAAAAGTGTTAAATAAATCAAAATAAATTTTGTAGTTGAGATTCTTCAAATAGCCACCCTTTGCCTTGATGACAGCTTTTCACACTCTTGGCATTCTCTCAACCAGCTTCATGAGGTAGTCACCTGGAATGCATTGCAATTAACAGGTGTGCCTTCTTAAAAGTTAATTTGTGGAATTTCTTTCCTTCTTAATGTGTTTGAGCCAATCCGTTGTGTTGTGACAAGGTAGGGGTGATATACAGAAGATAGCCCTATTTGGTAAAAGACCAAGTCCATATTATAGCAAGCACAGCTCAAATAAACAAAGAGAAACAACAGTCCATCATTACTTTAAGACATGAAGGTCAGTCAATACGGAACATTTCAAGTACTTTGAAAGTTTCTTCAAGTGCAGTCGCAAAAACCATCAAGCACTATGATGAAACTGTCTCTCATGAGGACCGCCACAGGAATGGAAGACCCAGAGTAGCCTCTGCTGCAGAGGATAAGTTCATTAGAGTTACCAGCTTCAGAAATTGCAGCCCAAATAAATGCTTCACATCTCAACATCAACTGTTCAGAGGAGACTGTGTGAATCAGGCCTTCATGGTCGAATTGCTGCAAAGAAACAACTACTAAAGGCAACCAATAAGAAGAAAATACCTGCTTGGGCCAAGAAACACGAGCAATGGACATTAGACCGGTGGAAATTTGTCCTTTGGTCTGGAGTCCAAATTGGAAATGTTTGGTTCCAGCCGTGTCTTTGTGAGACGCGGTATGGGTGAACGGATTATCTCCGCATGTGTGCTTCCCACTGTAAAGCATGTAGGAGGATGTGTTATGGTGTGGGGGTGCTTTGCTGGTGACACTGTCTGTGATTTATTTAGAATTCAAGGCATACTTAACCAGCATGGCTTCCACAGCATTCTGCAGCGTTACGCCAACCCATCTGGTTTGGGCTTAGTGGGACCATCATTTGTTTTTCAACAGGACAATGACCCAACACACCTCCAGGCTGTGTAAGGACTATTTTACCAAGAAGGAGAGTGATGGAGTGCTACATCAGATGACCTAGCCTCCACAATCCCCCGACCTCAACCAAATTGAGATGTTTTGGGATGAGTCGGACCGCAGAGTGAAGGAAAAGCAGCCAACAAGTGCTCAGCATTTGTGGAAACTCCTTCAAGGCTGTCGGAAAAGCATTCCAGGTGAAGCTGGTTGAGAGTATGCCAAGAGTGTGCAAAGCTGTCATCAAGGCAAAGGGTGGCTATTTGAAGAATCTCAAATATAAAATATACTTTTTTGGTTACTACATGATTCCATATGTGTTATTTCATAGTTTTGATGTC